TTCTTCTCTTTTTCCTTTTCTGCCTCATCGGTATTATTTATACTTTGTTTCCATATATGAAAAAATATCCTTCCAAACAGTTAAAATTCCTATAAAAGTGCTTTTTTGTTTTTTAAAGAATGAAGGTAGGTACGAATCTACTTTTGCAGGATGGAGAATATTTAGGAGATCCAAGTCATATTTATATTATTATTGATATTGACATTATACTTGACTCATCCCTCAAAAATCACATATGGTGGAAACCTTTTATAATTGCTTGTGTTGAGTGGATTTGAGTATCTCATTTACTGATGAGGCATGATTTCTTTGGAATTCTTTTGTTTATGAAAATATGCTTTGTATATCATCTACCTGAATTTGCATAATAATTAACTTTTGCAGAACTTAAGAAAATAATTCCTTCCTGTTTAAGCACTAAAATGTGCTTTTTAAATTTTATACCACTATAAAGCATAATTTTGTTTAGTATTAAGGAGCTGCATTGGTCAAAATATTAAACTATTTTTGGTTTGTTTACTCATTTTCAGTTGTCAAAATAAGCATAATTGGAAACAGCTGCCTTGAGATTGTTTTTGACAACTCTTCACATTCAGATCTAACATGGATAACTTTAAGAAAATGAGCCTTATCTAATTATGATTTTTCCTAGAGTATATAGTCAGATTGCTATTCTGCAAATAGAAGATAATTAAAAACAGAAACTGATCATTTAAAAAGTAGTACCACAGTTTTATAGAAAGACATTTTCCATGGCTTTCTCATTTTTACATAAATTGATTAGCTTCATTTGGCTATTTTATACACATCAACATTTTACTAATCTTTGGGATGATTAAAATGTAAGATTAATAAGATTAATGAAGTGTTTCCCTACCCTTTTATTCTTGTCCTCAAGCTGTACTTAAACTTTTTGTAATTTCCAGGACAGCTTAATAATATGATTTGATATTAATTAGTAAGAGATTTAGAAATTTTCAATATTTTAATACATTTTGTGATTAAATAAGTACATTTATTTTAATAGTTCCTCGGGTTAATTTATCTCACTCTAAGTGAGCTCTTGATTAAATTTAGAAATTAGGAAGCTATTGGAAATTTTTTTTAAATACCAGTTTTATACAAAATCCTATACTATTGGATAACTTTTTATTCTAAATTTATCCCTATAGTACTTACAATTTATTTTTGGAATTTAAAAAAGAAATATCATGTGCTTAGATATTCTCTGGTCTCTCCTAGACCAGAGAGTTTGGCAAAGACCAGAATAAGGATAGTCAAAGACACCTACCATGCATCTGAAAGTATGGGAACTGATAATTTTACTGTTAATGCTAGGATTCCATTCCTATGTGCACATTAACATAACTCAAAAAAGAAGCAATTGGGCTCAAAAAAACTTTGATTTTACATGGCAATATGGTAAGGCATAAAGAACACTGGACTATGGGTTGATGGTCCTGTGTTCCAAACTTTGCTTTTCTTTAAGCCATTTCTCTAGGCCTCATTCCCACCCCCCCACTCCCAGATGTAATGATGATGGTGGATTAGATGAGTTTCCTGTTTTCACCCTCTTTGATATTTTGGAATATTTGGAATGCAGTCTACAACTGACTCCCTCTCATGTTTCCTACACTGTCCAGCTCAAACATTTTGCATTTTCCTCAAGGTCTACACTTTATCACACTCATTGACTGCAGATGACTGTAATTCTGAGAACAACAAAAATAGCACATCATGAACCACAGTAAAAACAGAACCAAGGCAACAACACTTTGTTTAACACAAGCCCCTAAGTAATGAAGACGTTCTGAGTCTTTACTGAGAAGTCCCTCATGAAAAAAATAATTCATCTCCAACTTCTGCCATCTATATGTAGTAGGTGGTGATCCTTGCCCATATGGTAACCATATGAGGAAATGACTGCTTTTGCCCGCCATCAACAGAATTCCTGTTACCTTGGTAACCTTGCATTTTTTTCCCTTCAATACCTGCTGTATTCTTTGTTTGGGGAATCAATTCTATTAATGATTGGACTCCATTATAAGACTCCATTATAACATTAAAAGTAAAAATACTTTCTTTTTTTAAAAAGATCTACTCTTTTAGCAACTTTCAATTATGCAATATAGTATTATTAACCGTAGTCACGATGCTATACATTACATTTCTCATTACTGATTTATTTTATAACTGGAAGTTTGTACCTTTTGACTTCCTTCACTAATTTCTCTGACTGCCATTTCCCCTTTCCCACCTCTTCCTTGCCTCTGGTAACAAGCAATCTGTTTTCTGTATCCATGAGCTGGGTTGCTTTTTTCTTTTTCTTTTTCTTTTTTTAAGATTCTACATATAAGTGAGAACATCTGTATTTGTCTTTCTATGACTTAATAGGTGACTTATTTCACTTAGAGTAATGCCCTTAAGGTCTATCCATGTTGTCACAAATGGCAAGATTTTATTTTTTATGGCTGAATAATATGTCATTCTCTCTCTATATATATTTATCCTTCTATCTATCTAGATCTATCTACATATCTATATAATATTTTCTTTTATTTTTTTCTTTTAATGTTTTTATTTTTTTAGAGAGACTATGAGCAAGGGAGGGGCAGAGAGAAAGGGGGACAGAGGATCCAAAGTGGGCTCTGCACTGAGAGCAGTGAACCCAATGTGGGGCTTGGACTCATGAACTGTGAGGCTCAACTGACTAAACCACCCAGGTGCCCCTCTGTATTTTCTTTATCCATTCATCTGTTAATAAATACTTATGTTGTTCCCATGTCTTGGCTTTTGAAAATAATGCTGCAATGAACATGAAGGTGCGTGTATCTTTTTGAGTTAGTTTTTCCATTTTCTTTGGATAAATACCCAGAAGTAGAATTGCTGGACCACATAGTTCCATTTTTAATTTTTTGAGGAATCTCTACACTGTTTTCCATAGTGGCTGCACCAATTTACATTTCCATCAACAGTGCACAGAGTTTTCTTTTATTAATGTTTTGGTCTCTGAGTTTTTAATATTGTACACTTTGCTATCGAAGATCCTTCTGCCTCAGACAGGGTGTGTTCTTCCTCCTTTCAAAGACTAGCTCCTGCACTTGTGTTCTTCTGTCTCTCAGAACATTGTTCCCTCTACTCTGAACACCATCTTGCATCTTTAATATTTCCTCATTGTAGTCTATTTGTCTGAAATCATGGTACTCTTCTTTATCTGGAAAAAGGCCCTTTTCTTTTGATTTACTACTCATGTTATTTCCCTTTTACTACCAAAAGTCTTGAAAGGACCGTATTCACTTTCTCTGCATTAGGGTGATCCAGAAAGTCCAAAACTGTTTGTAGCCTGACTTCTGCCTTCAACAATCTGCTGAAGCCACTCTGTTTAAGGTGACTAAAAATTTTTCCATCACTGAGCACAATCACTTTCTCTCAGTCCTCCAAACCACTGCTGGAAAAATACTGAAAATCTTTCCTCCTTTGGTTTCTTTACATTATGTTTTCTGTTTTCCCCACCTTTCTGCCAGCAATTATTTGTCTCATCTTCTATAACTTTAGTGTTTCCTCAAAGATTTGATCAATTTGATCTTAGCATCTTTTTCTTCATTAAAAATGTTTTAATTAATTAATCTATTTATTTTCGAGAGAGAGAGTGAGAGAACATGAGGGAGGGGCAGAGGGAGAGGGAGAGGGAGAGAGAGAATCTTAAGTAGGCTCCACCCTCAGCGTGGAGCCTGACACAGGGTACTCTCCCACAACCCTGGATCATGACCTGAGCACAGTTTAGCAACTGGATATTGGATATTCAAATCTTTTCCCTATTTTTATTCCTGTGTACTTTTTCCTTGTTATTTGTAGCAGTTACTTATATTCTGGATAATAATTCCTTATTAGTTATATGCATTCCAAATATCTTTTCCTATTCTGAGAGTTCTTTACACTCTATATTGTTGTTTATAAGCAGTTCTTAATTTAATTTAATTTTATTTTTTCAACGTTTTTTTATTTATTTTTGGGACAGAGAGAGACAAAGCATGAACGGGGGAGGGGCAGAGAGAGAAGGAGAAACAGAATCGGAAACAGGCTCCAGGCTCTGAGCCATCAGCCCAGAGCCCGACGCGGGGCTCGAACTCATGGACCGCGAGATCGTGACCTGGCTGAAGTCAGACGCTCAACCGACTGCGCCACCCAGGTGCCCCAAGCAGTTCTTAATTTTAATTCATCAGTCATTTTTTCTAATATGAGTACTTTTTGTGCTTGTTTAGAAAATCCTTCCTGGAGTGCCTGGGTGACTCAGTCAGTTGAGCATTATACTCTTGATTTTAGCTCAGGTCATGATCCCAGGTTGTGGGATTGAGTCCCATGTTGGGCTCCACACTGAGCATGGAGCCTGCTTTGGAATCTCTCTCCCTTTTTCTCTCTCTCCCCTGCTTGCACTCTCTGTCTCTCAAAAAAAAAAAAAATCCTTCCCTTGTCCAAAGTCAAGAAGAAATAATCCTGTGTTTTCTAAAATTTGCTGGATTTCAGTTTTGTGCATGATATAAGAGTCCAGTTTCATTTTTTTCATTGTCCCAGTATCATCTTTTGGGAAGTTCATTCCATCCTCACTGCTCTGCAGTGCCATCTCTGTCACAAGCCAGGTGTCACACAAACCTATTTCTATGGTGTTTCTCAGATCTCCTGCTCTATTTTTCATCTACTTTTCTGTCCCTGTGCCAATACCATAATGTTCTGATTACTATAGCTTTGTAATATGTCTTGTTGTCCAGTAGAACAAATTTTCTTCTGGATGTTTTCTCTTCAAAAGTACTGTTATGAGCTGAATTGTATCCTTCCCCCAAAAGATATACTGACATCTCTAAAACTTCAGAATATGACTTTTTTTTTTTTTTTTGGAAATAGGGTGATTACAGTAGTAATTCATTAAGATGTGGTCATATTGGAGTAGGGTGAGCCCTCATTCTTTTTTTTTTAATATTTATTCATCTTTTTTTTTTTTTGAGAGGGAGAGAAACAAAGTGTTTGCACTCATGCTCATGCAAGGGAGTGGTGAGAGGCAGAGAGAGAGAGGGAGAGAGAATGATGTGGGGCTCAGTCTCATGAACTGTAAGATCATGACCTCAGCTGAAATCAAGAGTCTGATGCTCAACCTACTGAGCTACCTAAGCGCCCCAGGTGAGCCCTTATTCTAATATAATGGGTATTCTTATAATATGCTGGCCATATAAAGACAGAGGCACAGGGAGAAGGCTATGTGACCATGAAGGCAGAGATTGGAGTTATGCAGCTGCAAACCAAGAAAAGCTGAAGATTTTCAGGAAACCGCTGGAAGATAGGAAGACACAAGGAAGGATTCTCTGTACAGGTTTCAAAGGAATCCTGTAACACCCAGATTTTAGAATTTTCGCCACCTGAAATATGAGACAATAAATTTGTTATTTTAAGTCACCCAGTGTGTGGTACTTTGTTACATAGAGCATCTCCAGGAAACTAATACAAGTGCCTTGATTGCTTTTGGCCTTTTGCATCAATATAAATTTTAGAAGTAGTTTGTCAAGTACCATAAAAGCTTGTGATTTTGATAAGATTGCATGAATCTACAAATAAATTTGGGGAAGAAGTTACATAGTTTTACTATTGAGTGTTCCAATAGTTGAATATAGTATTCTTCTCCATTACTTAAGTTGTCTTAAGTGTTCTGAACAAAGTTTTATGATGTTTTTTGGGAATGTTTATTTATTTTTTAGAGAGAGAGCACACAAGCAAGGGAGGGGCAGAGAGAGAAGGGACAGAGGATCCAAAGCAGGCTTTGTGCTGACAGCAGAGAGCCCGATATGGGACTTGAACTCACAAACTACAAGATCATGATCTGAGCAGAAGGCAGATGCTTAACCGACTGAGCCACCCAGGCACCCCTCTAAGATTTTCTTTATAAAGGTCTTAGAAATCTTTCATTAGATTTATTCCTAAGTAATTGGTAATGTTTAATGCTATTGTAAATGATGTCTTTTATAAACTTAGGTTTTCCATTTGTTGCTGGTATAGAGAAGAAATAGAGTTTTTGGACATTGAATTAATATTCAATGACTTTACTAAAACTTCTTGGTCTAAATTATAACAAGTTTGTTTGGGTTTTGTATAAAATCATTATCATCTGTAAATAATGATAGTTTTTTTTCTCTACTTTAGTTTCTTATTTTTAATTTTTTAAATTTCTTCCTGAATGGGTCCTTCCCTACAATGTTGATTAGAAACAGTGATAGCCAGGTACTTAGGTGGTTTAGTTGGTTAAGTGTCTGACTCTTGATTTTGGCTTAGGTCATGATCTTATGGTTGTGAGATTGAGGCCCGGAGTCAGGCTCTGCACTGGGTGTGGAGCTGAAGGCTGCTTAGGATTCTCTGTCTTCCTCTGCTCCTCCCCCTCTCTTTCTCTCTCTCACAAAACAAAACAAAAAACAAAAACAAGAACAAAAACAAAAAAACAACAAAAAGAAACAGCGATAGCAGTCTTCCTTGTCCTGTTCCTGATTTCCAAAGGAAAAATTTTAGCATTTAAATTAAGTGTGATATTTGCTGTATGTTTTGTAAATATCCTTTATCAGATTAAAAATATTTCCTCCTGTTCCTTGTTTGCTAAGAGTTTTATTTGGTTAAATCATAAGTGAGTGTTAAATTTTATTAGTGCTTTGATCTGCATCTATTGAGATGATCATATTATTTTTCTCTAATTTGTTAATGTGGTGAATTACATTACTTAATTTTTTAATATTAAACCAGCCATGAATTTCTAGGATAAATACACCTTAACCATGATCTATTATTATTTTTACATGTTGCTAGATTAGATTTATGGATATTCTATTAGAATTTTTGCATCTCTCTGGTCATAAGTGAGTTTGGTCTGTAATGTATTTTTCTTTTTTTTCTCACAGTTAAAAATTTTTAAATAATAAACTTTGGTTTTCAGAGTAATTAAACGGAAAGTAGAGTTTCCATTCACCCTTGCCACCATCCACAATTTTACCTATTATTAAAATCTTGCATCAGCATGATACAGTTATTACAATTTTTAAACCAGTAGTGACACATTTTTTTTTGTAATAATCTTTCTTATATTGTCATTGTCAGGTTTTGGTATCAAAATTATGCTAGCCACATTAAATGAATTGGACAATATTTCTTATTTTTCTGTTCTTTGGAAGAGTTTATGTAAAATGGGAATTATTTATTCTTTGTATGTTTGGGAGAACTTAAGAGTAAAGTCATCTAGTCCTGGAATTTTCTTTGTGGGCAGGCTTTTTAAAAAAAATTACTGACTTAATTTCTTTAACAGTTATAGGACTTTAGAGTTTTCTATTGCTTTTGATGCCAGTTTGATATGTTTTTCTATGATTTTTTTCTACTTCATTTAAATTTTCAAAACTTACTGGCAAAAGATGTCAATAATATGCTCTTATTATTTGTTTACATGTGCAGAGTCAGTAGTGCTGTTCTCTTTTTTACTTCTGATATTTGTTATTTGTTCTTTCTTCCTTTTCCTGATTAATTTCATAATAATTTTATCAATTTTTAAATGTTTATTTTATGTTTTGAGAGAGAGAGAGAGAGAGAGAGAGAGAGAGAGAGAGAGCACAATCAGTGGAGGGGCAGAGAGAGAGAGGGAGACACAGAATCCAAAGCAGGATTCAGGCTCTGAGCTGCCAGCACAGAGCCCAACATGGGGCTCGAACCCACAAACCATGAGATCATGACCTGAGCTGAAGTCAGAAACTTGACCTGAGCTGGAGTCAGACACTTAACCAACTGAGCCACCCAGGTGCCCTAAATTTTATCAATTTTGTTAGTCTTTTAAAAAAGAAACTTTTAGTTTTGTTGGTTTTTCTTCATTAGCTGCCCTCTATCTTTATTATTTCTTTCCTTCTGCTTTCTTTAATTTTATTTTTCTTCTCTTTGTCTAATCTCTTGAGATAAATATCTAGCTTATGAATTTCCATTCATTCTTTCCCTTTTTTAAAAAATTTAGATTCAAGTTATTTAACATATAGTGTAGTATTTGTTTTAGGGGTAGAATTTAGTGATTCATCACTTACATAAAACAGCTAATGCTCATTCCAGCAAGTGCCCTTCTTAATACCCATCACCCATCTATCCCATCTCCCACCCATCTCCCCCCCATCAACCCTCAGTTTCTCTATATTTAGGAGTCTTATGGCTTGCCTCCATCCATGTTTTTATCTTATTTTATTTTTCCTTCCCATCCCTTATGTTCATCTGTTTTGTTTCTTAAATTCCACATATGAATGAAACCATATGATATTTGTCTTTCTCTGACTGACTTATTTCACTTAGCATAATACATTCTAGTTCCATCCACATTGTTGCAAGTAGCAAGATTTCATTCTTTTTGATTGCCAAGTAATATTCCATTGTGTATATATTATATACTGTATCTTCTTTATCCATTCATCAGTTGATGGACATTTGGGCTCTTTTCATAATTTGGCTATTGGTGATAGCATTGCTATAAACATTGGGGCACATGTGCCCCTTCAAATCTGCATTTTTGTATCCTTTGGATAAATGCCTAGTAGTGCAGTTGCTGGTTCATAGGGTAGTGCTATTTTTAACTTTCTGGGGAACATCCATACTGTTTTCCAGAGTGGATGCACTAGTTTACATTTCTACCAACAGGCAAAAGGGTTTCCGTTTCTCCACATCCTCGCCAACATCTGTTATTTCCTGAGTTGTTAATTTTAGTCATTTTGACAGGTGTGAGGTGGTATCTCATTGTAGTTTTGATTTGTTTTTTGGGTGTTGAGTTTCATAAGTTCTTCGTAGATTTTGGAAACTAACCTCCAAAGTGATATACACATTCAATGAGTGATGTTGAGTATCTTTTCATGTGTCTGTTGGCCATCTGCATATCTTCTTTGGAGAAGTGTCTATTCATGTCTTTTGCCCATTTCTTCACTGGATTATTTGTTTTTTGGGTGTTGAGTTTCATCAGTTCTTCATAGAGTTTGGATACTAACCCTCCAAAGTGATACACAAATTCAATGCAATCCCTAGAAAAATAACGCCAGCATTCTACACAGAACTAGAACAAATAATTTTTTTTTTTTTTAGAACAAATAATTATAAATTTAGTTTGGAACCAGAAAAGACCCTGAATAGCCAAAGTAATGTTGAAAAGAAAAACAAAGCTGCAGGCATCACAATTCTGGACTTCAAGCTGTATTACAAAGTTGTAATCATCAAGACAGTATAGTACTGGCACAAAAACAGAAACACAGAGCAGTGGAATAAAATAGAGACCCAGATATGGACCCACAAATTCATGGCCAACTAATCTTCAACCAAACAGGAAAGAATATCCAGTGGAAAAAAGACAGCCTCTTCAGCAAATAGTGTTGGGAAAACTGGACAGAAACATGCAGAAGAATGAAACTGGACCACTTTCTTATGCCACTCACAAATAGATTCAAAATGGATGAAAAACCTGAATATAAGACAGGAAACCCTCAAAATACTTCAGGAGAAAACAGTCAGCAACCTCTTTGAACTTGGCCCCAGCAACTTCTTACCAGACATGTCTCCAGAGGCAAGGGAAGTAAAAGCAGAAATGAACTATTGGAACTTATTCAAGATAAAAAGTTTTGCACAGCAAAGGAGACAATCAACAAAACTAAAAGATAGGGCACTTGGGTGGCTCAGTCAGTTGAACATCCAACTACAGCTTGGGTTATGATCTCATAGTTTGTGGGTTCGAGCCCTGTGATGAGCCCCATGTTGGGCTATGCACTGACAGTGTGGAGCCTGTCTCCCTCACTCTCTGCCCCTCCATTGCTCTCTCTCTCTCTCTCTCTCTCTCAAAATAAATAAACATTGAAAAAAAAAACAACTAAAAGTCAACCGACAGAATGGGAGAAAATCAACAAAATTAAAAGTGATTATTTTCTAATGCATTCAGTTTATATATTTCCTTCTAAGTACTATCATAGCTGCATCTTAAAGTTCTAATATTCAGGTTTTTATTTTTTATTTATTTTTATTTTTGTTTTTTAAAATTTATTGTCAAATTGGTTTCCATAGAACATCCAGTGCTCATTCCCAGCAGGTGCCCTCCTCAATGCCCATCACCCACCCTCCCTGCCCTCCCACCCCCCATCAACCCTCAGTTTGTTCTCAGTTTTTAAGAGTTTCTTATGGTTTGGCTCCCTCCCTCTCTAACTTTTTTTTTCCCCCTTCCCCTCCACCACGGTCTTCTGTTAAGTTTCTCAGGATCCACATAAGAGTGAAAACATATGTTATCTGTCTTTCTCTGTATGACTTATTTCACTTAGCATAACACTCTCCAGTTCCATCCACGTTGCTACAAAGGGCCATATTTCATTCTTTCTCATTGCCACGTAGTACTCCATTGTGGATGTAAACCACAGTTTCTTTTT